ATTTTCGTTCGTTTACATTTGTTTAGCATGTTTACGAACGAACATAAACGAACACCAACACACCTTATTTCTAAACGAACGAGCACGAACACAAAGATTTTTGTTCGTTTACCGTTCGTGTTCGTTCGTTTGTTCGGTTAAGTTAAACGAACGAACATGAACAAGCCTCCGTTCGTGTTCGTTTGGTTCGTTTACAGCCCTAAGTACCGATAAACAACTCCTAAACTTGTACCCGACGTGTCTTCATCTTTTGAAAACGGTCAATATATACCCAAAAATAATTACAAAAAGTATGGTTTTGGTTATTTGGGCTTTGTTTTGTTTGGGTTTTAGTTGCACCATTTGGATTTTAGGGAAATACGGTAGCACCTTCTAAAACGATACAGTAGCACCGTTAACAAACCTAAACTTTTTACCCTTCGGCGGCGAAATAATACGGTGGCACGTGCCACCCATGCCACCACATAAGGTCCGCCCATGTAGAGTCCTACATCGGCTACGTTTGGAAAAATTCTTCTGTATATATGTTGAAATTTCCCTTATTTCCTTAAGGGTTCTTTTGGAAAGTGATCTTAGGGTTCCACGTATTCTCACATGGTATCAGAAGCCAAGTTCTACCGTCCATTTGGGACATCTTTGCCCGCCTAACCCCTCTCAGACACTCTGGTACATCTTTGCCTATCTAGCCTCAGTTGGAGGGGGCGTGCTAGAGTCCCGCATTGGCTAGCCTTGGACAAATTTTCCTCTATATATGTTGCTAAAGATTTGACCTTTTTGATGTTAAAAAGGACCCAAATGGAAATCTCGAACGATGATATCTTGCCTGATGGAAGGAAAGTAAAAGCAGGAGGTATGGTGACATACGTACCTTAATCAATCGGACGAAATTGGGATTCTGATGCAAATGAAGTCAAGCCCGAAAGATGGTTTCTTCCAAAACACTTCTCCGTTCAAGTTCACTGCATTCCAGGTCAAAAATACGAACAAACAACAAGCGGGGACATGCCTGCAAACGAAGATGGGTGATCGCTATTTTGTGTAGGTTTGAATTGGTGGAAGGGGAAAAAAGGATTAACGATTACAGTTTCAAACCATTCATAAGATTCCAATTGTGTTCTTTAAAGTTAACTTATTTAGCATGATGTTAACGACATTTAGATTACACTACGACAGTAACTTGCCCTTCTTGTTCCTCCAATCTTCGGTTTCAGCATCTACCATCGCTTTAACACGAACACGAAATCCTGGATACGGTTCGTACCCGAAAAGAATCTGAAGTGTCTGAATCAAGAAAACCATAATCAGACCAAATCTAGCTTAACCTCAACTTTTTGATGAATCGTATGTTTAATTCTGTAGACATTATTACCTCAAACAAAACAAAGAATGGAGCCATCAAGAAGGCTTGCAAAATGTTGTCAAGAAGAGCAGGTGCTCTTCTCTGCAAATTATGTTTGATTAGAAGCATTATAATACTCATTTTATCCTGCAAGTGATGAAATTTAAGTAGCTGACCTCGAATACCCCATGGCCTATAAATTGCGCGATCCAAGAAACCAGTTGCACAACGAGAACGACCTGATATGAAATTGTGGCGATTCACAAAGGTTAGTCAAATATCTAATTATCCTTCAATAATGTTGAGATGGAGGTATCTTGTGGATCAAAACCAACCATATAAATTGTGAGAATATGTGGAACCCCAAGAATTACTCTCCAAAAGAACTCGAGAAAGGAGGTTACAATGTATATCGAGGAGAAATGGTCCAAGTCTAGCCGATGTGGGACTCTAACACGCCCCCTCCAACAAAGAGGCTAGACGGGCACATATAGTCCCAAAGTGTTGAGAGGGGGCTTACACGAGCAAAGGGGCTACACGAGTAAAGATTGCCCCAAAGTGGTAGATCTTGGCTCTGATATCATGTGAGAATATGTGGATTCCCCAAATTACTCTCCAAAAGATCCCTTAAGGAGAGAAGAAGGTTCCAACCTACATTGAGGAGAAATGGTCAAAGTCTAGCTAACCTGAGACTCTTAATATACATACATACATATAGATAGATGAAGGATCGTGTGAAAATAGGAGTTAAGATGATAAGTGTAAGAAGGGATTTGGACCCTTGATCACTTTCAATCTCAAACCAACCGATGAATCGCGCTTTAGAAGGGAATTGATCTGGTGCTTCCCATTAGTGTTAATCTAGTGGAAATCTTCAATTCGGATTGATCCAAGGGTGGAGATCCTTTCTCACCCTTCTTACCAACTCTATACATATATTAACGATGGTCACTAGCCAAATTGGTAATATTGGATTAAAAACACAATCTAGCATTATCTAGTTCATCAACTATGGAAGACACAACTTGATTTTTATTGGGTGTTTGGATGTGTGTAACGGAACCGATTATTGCAACTTGAAATCATAACAAAATTTTACATCACGTAATCACTTTCAAAACGAGCGATTCAAGTAACCCTTAAATCATCATCAACTAATCTTCCCAAATTGTATTCTTGATCAATTTCTTTCACTGCCATTGATAATCGTCAAGCAAGCACCACTCAGATCAAAATATAAGAAAACCCAACTCATTTCCATAATCAATATCTTAATTCAGCATCAAGAATCTCTAATCACACCAATTAATTCAATAAAAAGAAGCAAAACCCAACTCAATTCCATAATCAATATCATAATTTAGCATCAAGAATCTTTAATCGCACCAATTAATTCAACAAAATGAAGCAAAACCCAAATCAATTTCCAAAAGAAATTACCTTCCAGGCCAGTTGAAACCCTAGGAGACTTGCAAGAGCAGTACTAGCAATCCAACAAAAGAGACAGAGTAAAGCAGCCAACGAACCAGCCTTAAAATCCAAACAGATATAAAACACAGCGTAGATCAAAGTAAACAAGAAGGCAAAGTTAAAAATCAGGATAAAATGGGTCTGAAATAAAGAAAAATGGAAATTGGGGAAATCAAATGGAGCAGGTATGAAATTGAAAAGAAGAGCAGCAGAGAAGAAGATCGGCCAAACAAATATCATATGAATGGTTATGTTAATTGAGTTGCTGTGATAAGCTGAATAGAAAGCAAAGTTTTTATCAAGATCAAGAAACCCCATTTTCCAATTTTGCAAAAGCTTCAAGAACGTGAAAGAAAACTGAAATGAAATTAGAGGGTATTTTTCGACGTAATTAATTACATAGAATACCCAAATATAATACAAGTAATATCATTTTCAACATACCTAGGGAATTGTTTTTTAATATTAAGAAGGTGATCGAATAGAGGTTACAATATATGGAAGGGGGTGTTTTGTATTTACTGAATGGTTTGGTGCAGAATGATTAAGAGGCTCTCATGATATAGTGCAAAATGAAATATAATTGTTCGGTAATTGCTTACAATGGAATTAGATTGTTGAACGGTTAATGGAGGTCTATGATACAAAACCATTCCGAAAGTTTTAGAACCATTAAGAGGGGCCTAGACGAGTATATATTATTTCAGAGTGTCGAATCCCTACAGTTATAGACTTTGATTCTGATATCATGTGAGAATATGTAAAAATTCATTAGATTACTGTCCAAAAAGCTTTTAAAGAGAAAAATGAGGTTGTACCGTGTATAAAAGAGGAAAAAGAAACTTTTTAATTTTGAATGGTCAAGTTCTTGAACTTTTTTAATAAATAAATCATTAAACTTTTTTTTCTTTTAAATGATCGAGTTAGGTTGACAGGTGGTTGTTTTTTACTTTAAAATCTTCTCAGACAGTTATAGGTAGTTTTTTTGGGTAAAAACTATGTAGATAACCAATTTTTAAAAGTCTGACAATTTATTTATTCAAAATGAGAAAGTTCCATAATTTATTCATTCAAATAGTAAATTAAGTATTTACATAACAAATTAATATTTTTAACTGTATGCTTATTGAAGTGTCAGCATCAAGTAGTCGATCAAATGTGCAACAAGTGATAGGGGGACTTGTGATACGAGTGTACAACAACGAAGATCCAATCAAGTGAGTTCGTGACGTTAAGTCTTCCAAACGTAAAGATGGACAAGTCAATGCAGATGCCGGTTAGAGATGTGAAGTAATGATTGTGGCGACCAACGATGGACGAATCAACGAAATGCAATTTGGAGACCCTTTGTTGTCATAGTTTTTGGTTGTCACTCACATTTGTACAAGGATTCAATATTTTTTTTATACTTAATTCTTGATTTCTGCCCACTATAAATATAAATACAAGCAACACTCTTGTGGTTACGGAGTTTTAAATACGGTAACTCCGAACTACCCGCAAAGCAGGTGGTCGTCCTGAGATTAATCGACTCGTATAACGGGTTGCATATCCAGATTAATAGAAAAAACACAAACAAACACTCTTAAATATAGATAAAATAAATATATGAAATATAGGCTGGAAAAGCAAACTGTGAAGATAAGACACCAAATACTTTTGGCAAGTTGATGAATGATGCTTTATATGTATTTTTTTTGTTATTATTTGTTTTTTTTTTGTTATTATTTGTTTTTTTTTTTTTTTTGGATTATATGAATTGGCTTTAGTTTAAGATATTTAATGGCAACAGTAAAACTACTCTTAACAGGGTTGGGTTCACGTGATACTAAGAGTTTTTTGTAAGACCCGTATGACCAATTTATGTTCATTAATCAATTTTATAAGCTAATGATCTAATGATCTAAAGTTGCACGGTGACAATTTTGTGATTATTGAGAAGTCTCGTGACAATTTTGTGATTATGAATGTTCAGATTGTAGATCTAATCCAATGGTTGAAAATTGGTCTTACGGGTCTCACGAAAAACTATTGGTCTCACATAATCCCAAGTCTATATATATATATATATATATATATATATATATATAGGGGCATGTTCAAATGCGAACCGTCCAATTCTAAAAAACCGTGTAAACCAAATTCGACCAATAAGAAAATTTCATTTGTTTTCAATTAAATTTAAATAATAAGGGTATTTATGACATTTTGTACACATATTTCGTAATTATGGAAGTTATTAATTCATATTATATAAGGAAATTAAATAAAATAAATATTGAAGAAA